ACAATAATTATTTAATTGTTAGTCGTAGTACTTTTTCCATTTTGTACCAACGCTCCATTCCTGACTTTATTTTGAAGGCCAAGCACTCAACTTCCTGTCTGTGATGTATAAACATGACGGCTTGACGCAACAACAGAGTCGTCCTCCTTCTCTACTGATCATCTGATCTGCCTGACTGGACAGCACATCGCCAACATGTGATGTGGTCATGAATGAACTGTATCTATCAAATTCAATTTACTAACATAAATAACTTAATTATGTCATGTAGCTGTGTCACGTGATTGTGTCTGTTGCTATAATATTATGTGTGCTCATTTATTAATGATTATGTAACATCACAGCAATATCATGTCTAGTCAGTGTCATGTGTGCAAGTTGTGGTACAATTGTTATGTTATGCTTGTGTGTGGTGTGATCATGTGATAGACGTGCTTCTACATTTGATTTGTTCCCGTAATATTAGATAAACACATGTAGGTTTACAAACTGTACAGCTGTTTTCAGTGCATGCATGCTTTGGTAAAGGGTGACATCCTGTGGCTGATGGAGGTTTAGCTTTAGTGAAGTGTGATGGGACATGGAGAACATCTAGAGGCAGAAATCAGTAACTGCAATGTTGTCCATGCTTTCCGTTTTTTATTAGAAGTAAGTCAGATGTTATGTGTAGGGGAGAAGGGGGTAAATTGAGCCAGTGGGTAAATTGAACCACCCCCTGTAACCAGGCAACGCCTTATAGCTTTAACCAAGTGACCAGAAATTATGCAAGCTCCACCCATTTCTCATTGCCTGTGAAAGAGAGATGCTCATTGTGGTCTGGTGAACATTTTTACAAAAAAACGTTTTTTGCTTGTTCAAGTACATTTTCTAGATGTTAGCTATATCGGCTGTCATGTCAAAAAAAAGTATCCAGGTTTAAACACATATATTGTATATGTTGATGTGTTGGCAGCGTATTAAACCATGTGAATCATTAAGCTAAAGATGACTCTGAATTTTAATGCTAGGCTATTTTTTCTAAAATGGTGGCTATGGGGTAAAGTGAACCATGGGCCTTGGGGTAAGTTGAGCCAGTGGAGAAATGAATGAAAGTAGGCCAAGTTGATAATAAGAGCTCATTGTAGGCTACATTTAAAGTTGAATTTAGCCTGTGTTTGATTGGTAAGATGTATGAAATTGTATCACCATTTGTATGATTACTTTTCTTTTTAACATGTTAAAAAAAAATCTATCAATTCAATCGAAATGTATATTAAAAATATTTGAAAAACTAAGCTTGTATTTGGTTTGTTATTTATTGTTTATATTTACCTTTAAGATTTGTTGTAGGTATGCCCAGGTTTGAACAGGTATGCCCAGGTTTGAACAGTGGTTCAATTTACCCCCTGACCTGGATCAACTTACCCCTACACTGGGGCAAGTTGAGCCACAAGAATTTTTTTTTAAAGAAGTAATATTTTCAATGCCCTTGATCAAATATTAATTATTATCATTGCCATTGATAGGAGACATCCTGAATTATAGGTGTGTGTTTTCATTTTTATTATGTGTCATTTCTCCTTGCTTAGAGGACAGCACAACTAAAAAATGGCTCAACTTACCCCACTCTCCCCTATACTTTCTACAGCTCAAGGACACAGGTGTCTAATAACAATATGAGACATCCGTCCTCTGTCTGCCCGCCCCATCTTGTATATAATCTTTGCTATTCTGTGACTATTGCGCACACTCCTGCAGACTACCCTGTACTCTGTGAGACTTGTGCCTTCGAGGCGCCTCGAATAAAGATCCAGAAAGAAAACTCTGTTTGTTTCACCAGTTTATTGATTGATCATTCTAATTGTATATCTCCACAGTATTGACTAGGTCTAAGATTTCCATAACAGGGCCTAAGATACATAATGGGAAATAAAAACAACACTTAAATAAGACTTTAGTTACACCTGGAGAGAATAGTCCAACATACAAAGTAATTAAAACTAGCTGTACCTTTACCAGCTTTGATAAACACATTAATGCATATAATTATGATCCAAAAATATGATCACTGCCCCAATCAGCAGAATGACTACTTTTAGTTTTGGTACTTTAAGTATATTTTGATGCCAATACATTTGTACTTTTACTTGAGTAACATTTTGAATGCAGGACTTTTACTTGTAACAGAGGTTTCTTACACTCTGGTACTTCTAATTTTACTGACGTAGAAGATCTAAGTACTCCTCCCACCTCTGGAGAAAACTGGCAACAGTTTTTCCAGTGTTTGAAGTTGGTCCTGAGTGACGAGCAAAGCATGCATTACAGTCTCCTGTGGAGGACACGAGTACAAACACAAATCCTTCTCACAGGATCTCTTACAGTACATGGCCAGGTTAAGTTTGCATTGCTGCTCCTAAAGAACACTACAGCCAAAGCTGGTCTGTAATTTTATTATAAAAAGTCAACGAGGCCATCTTAACTGTAGTGTTCCAGTGTACTTTAAATGGTAACAAAAATGAATTTGGTAAAAATAATGACACATGGGTAGATATAGTTGTAGGTCGAGTTACAGTTCTGTGGGACAGGGTGATTTTTTCTGTTCAAATATGACCTAATAAATTCCAGTGGTTGAGATCAAACTTTTTGAGTATTTGAATGTGGAAGGAGAGGGTCAGCCAGAGGCTTTCTGCTTGTCCTTTAATTGACCCACAGAGTGTGGGAGTTTTCTCTGCTCTTATAAACCAGTCATTGATGGTGAAGACAGGATGGCAATATCCGCCTGCAGGGCGTACGCTGTTTACACGTCCAGTCCACACACACAGGCACATAATATGGTCAATTAATCCACACACACACACACACACACACACACACACACACACACACACACACACACACACACACACACACACACACACACACACACACACACACACACACACAAGAACATAAAAACAACATAAAAACCTCATAATATGGTAATGACAAGAAAACACAGTATTATGACAATAAATACGAAAAGGAAACAGTATGAAAGCTTAAAAAGAAATTATTTGTAAAATCTAGATGTATAATATTATTTGGCAATTTTACAAGATGAAAGAATTACAGAATGATATAGTTATCTATCGTATACTGCACATAATCATTGTTTTGCTTGTTATAACTGTGTGCGTGCGTGTGCGTGTGTGTGTGTGCGTGTACATGTGTGTGCGTGTACATGTGTATATAGGGGTGGAATGGGGGTTTGGGTGGAGCAATAATTAGATTACAAATGAGCTCAAGTCCTATAATAATTGAGAAAGAAGCTACTGAGCGGTCAGACGTATTTTGAGTCAAAGAGGAAATCACTGCTTTTCCTGTTGGGTCAGATCAAGACTTCCTACACTGACCAGGTGAGGATTTCATGTTGATTTCTTTCATTTACACTAAATAATTGTGATAAAGGAGCTTCACAATTATTGTTATGAAGATATACATATTAGAATACTTTTTGATTGAATGCGTTGATCTTATTTTTGTCCTATTACACTTGCATAATTTATTGAATTATACAATTTTACCAGAATGTATGGACCTATAGCAGTGTTATCAAATGTATGTTTATACAGTTAAATACATATTTTAAATCAGTTGGGGACACCCTTTGATGTTGAGACTCATTGTGAGTGTAGCCTACAAAAACCTTTTATATTATATAGTGTGCTAATATCTTCTCTATGAAATTCACAATGAGTTGATATGATAAACTGGAAGTGCTGCTGTGTTTGTGAGAATGAGTGTCTGTTACAAGGCACAGAGTGGAAGCAGGCTACCACAACATCCTTCAAATTAATCTTGACATGTTTGTATTAATGCAAAGTAAATATTGAATGACATGATAATAAAGCTGAGACACACTGTTGAAGAAACAGGCTGTGCTTGTGCTTGTTGCTTGTTAAGACATGATAACATGGGAGAGAGAGTATAGTATCTGTGAACCTAATAGATACAAATACCATGCAAAATACAACATTATAAACTTTAATTATATAAAAAGCATTAAACTTGAAATGTGCCATTGTAAAATAAAAGTGTGGACAGAGGAATTATATTTTGGAGAACCACAGAAAGTTTCAAAAAGTCTCAAAGGAGGAGTGAAGAGTGAATCGTGTCTGTATGCTGACTTAGCAGGGATGTGTGCTGAGTAATATGAACACATATAAGTCTGAGAGCCTTTTTGCATTATATTATATCATATCTATTATATTTTCACGTTTTGAATTGTAATTATTAATTATTATACATAACTAAAGAAATGTCCACGATACAAAACCTGCACCATGGTAAAAACCTTTAGTTAAGGTTGGTCAGAGACTTTTGTACATACAAATTGTAGGAAAACTAACTCTCAGTCTAGTTATGTGCAGCCTTTGGATCTGATTTTCATTTCAGAGTGATGGAGAATTCCCCAAACTGCCGCTGCTCTCTCACCTCGCTGGTTGCTTTAATCTTCCTGATCTTATTTCCTCTGATGTCTGAATGTAAGGTGGACACCTACACATCACTGAAAGAGGTAAGACGAGATACATTCATATGATACTCACAAAGTACGGTGAGTTATATGACCTAATGCTTCACGTAAATGTAGCCGATTTTCAAAACATTTTATAGAGTAAAAGCTGGCATGCAAAATAAGTGTCTCTATAACCCAAAGCATTCATCTGGTTGCATCTTTAGAATGTATTTAATGTATCATCTTAAGTTATAGTTCATTGTATTTCACTGTACAATACTTAACCTTACATTCTGTTTCTTTCACCTGCTCTATTTTATTCAAATGTATCGTACTCTGTTTCATTTGAACTATTGTTATTTTTGTATTATTATTATTATTGTTATCTTATGTCCTTTATATAATATGTTGCACTGTTGGAGGAGCTCGGGACCTAAGATTTTCATTGCCTTAACTACACTGTAGCTACTGTGCACAGGATGATAAAGCCTTTGAATCTTGAGTCTTGTAATGTTTTGTATTTTAGGCTAAAGACGTGGACTATGGCAGCTTTGTGGGTCTGATGGGGCGGAGAAGTGCTGCTCACCCAAACAGTGAGTTATGTTTTGCAGGAAACACCTCGCTTAGTTTCTCTCGGACACTGGATTTATTTTGGCAGGTGACATAAACACCTTGATGCCAACAGTTCACATTATTAGCCAGAAGGAAAAATGTGTCTGTAGTGACTTCAAACTTTAGCGATTTGAATGAATGTTATATCAACTTTTTTGTTTTACTGTGTGTTTAGTTGTCGGTTTTACAACTTTTTGTTGGTCACGACTCTTTTTAAGATGCTATGTAATATTATTATTATAATCATTATTATATTTACCTCATTACTATGATTATAATTGGTCTTTTCCTTAACTAATGCAGGACGCATGGCGCACACTCTCGCTGATCTGGTGAATCACTGGTGAGTGGCACCTGAACATTAGCATCCTTCTGTATATCAGGTTGTTCACTGCTGACAGCACTCTGAATGTAGAGGACTTCTAAGGTGCTGATCTTGTAAAACTGGTTGATAACATTCAAATGTAGGGTATAATCCAATCGTATGAGTCTTATTCAAGTTTAAATCAAGGAAATCTATTTTCTTAAATCTCCAACATTATTAAATCCTCATGTTCATCACATGGAAGGACTGATCCGAATCTGAAGCCAAAGGAGACTGCTTCACAGCTGCTGATCTCTGGTCAGATTAAACATACACAGTATAAACTGAGCTTCCAGTTTTTAATTCAGTGCCTACAAAGATCAAAGCCAGACACACAAGTTTGAACTGTTGTCTCACACCCTGGCAACGCTGACCTTTAGGCACTGTTTAGTTTAAGAGTCATAAGAGTTATCCGTGTTTGACAAAGAGTGACATATTTCTGTTCTTTGTGTGCAAAAGGAAAAGCGTTTCCGCATTCCAAGGAGCATTAACAGATAAGGATCGGTAAACAGTTAAACTCTCTACTACAGTAGGCTGAGGTAAGCGCCTGTTTAACACTTTCCATTCAGATAAATGAGAAAAACAAATGTATTGCTGAACCTTTTTCTGATCTCGCTCTCTACTCAGGTGTCAACGCTTTCTGCAGTGCGACATGTAACGCCACCTTGAAAGTCCTATATTAACCATGCAAGAATTCATTTCTACTGTCACTGGAAAATGATCTGAGATGTAGTATCATGTAGAGAATGTAATACAGAACAAATGTACAATAAAATATGCATTTATTTATAGTGATTAAAGTGCCATTGATACCGCACACTGATCTCATGTGCTGACACACTCACAAAATCATTTACACACTAAACAGTGTCGACTCAATTAAGACTCCAATAGCAACATAAATACTTTTCAAATATAATTACAGTAATGTACACCTTTCCCTTGGATACAATTTAGATGTTGAAGTAGATTGTCAAGGACTGAATGTGTTGTATCACTAGCATCAGCAACCAGAGGTGGAGGTTTGGGCACCAATCTCAAATTCTTTTTAAAGGGAGCCATTTTGAATACCATGTTGATTTGGTTTAAACTGGACAGGTCCATTGAACATGCTGTGTGCTCATGTCCAGAAGGTGTGTAAACACATACAAAAGGCATTTTGATAGGCATTAAATACCTCATACATCTTAATCTGTGAAGGACTAAAAGAAGTTTAAGTGGTTAAAAACACTATTATAAACACTCAAAAGTGCATTTAATTTTCTCATAAATAGACAATGTGTTCTGTTCGAATGATCGCTGCATCCTGCCTGATTCCTGAAGCCAGTTTCTGTATTTGGTAGTTGCTTTATCACACACCCAATTTAATTGTCTGGTTACAAAGTAGTAAAGAACCTGGTAGAAAATAAACTTAAAACAAAACATTAAAATTGTCCCTTCCAAAAAGCGGCGTCATGAACAGTAATCGCTGGCTTGCACAAAGGTCATGCTCATTACATTGGAAGGATTCAGGAAAACTAGCGTCCATCTGAAAGCATCACTCATCATGGTAAAGTCACAGTGCTGCTGACAGCTCATACAATCCCACATTTACAAGGCACAAGCTGATGAGTCCTTTTGGGGGAGATGAAGGGAACTGTGAAGTAAGTGTACGTGTGTGTGTGTGTGTGTGTGTGTATCCACTGACGGCTTCATGGAGCACAGGTAGATAAGCGTGCAACATGGGGTTTCATTCCATAAAAGAAAGACATTTGACAAACTGCTTCCTTGTGCTGTGAAGGAGATCCAATCACCACAGATGGAATTTAGGTCAAACTAACACAAGGTCGGGAACAGACACACATCATGAACGTTTAAAATAAAATGAACATACAGTTAGAAACAAACAAGAAGCACCCAGATTCATTACTTCCTTATTACTCAAAATGACACCTACATTCTGACCAGCCTGCTTTCAGTCTGACATCATCCCTCTTTGAGAAATCTTTGGCTGGCCTGTTTACATTTCGTCCTGTGGACCATTCATTTAAAACATCATGGTAACATCATGTATGTTAATTAGCCATTGAGAAATAGGAACTAAACTGCTCTTCTGTTGAAGTTAACTTTATGTCTATAGTTTGTGGGGTTTTGGGACGGGTGTCATGTGTTTTCTGGTTCCTTTGCTATAACACTTGAATGCGGCGTGAAACAAGTTTGGGAGGCAGCCAATTGTGACTGTTCTGTTCCAAAGAAACTCTTTAGCCTAAAGACAAAAGGCTTGTTTGAATGATTGTACAAGGTGAGGCACTTTGATTGAAATGTAATTGAATATGTATGATAATAGCCGTCTTGTTAGCTTAAGACATAGAATTGGGTCTCATTGCCTTCGAAGGCAGATAGTTAGCAATGAGGTCAAACGACACCAAACCAATGACTGTCTCGCTGCAGAGTGGCAGAACAGGTTGTCTTCCAGGGTTGCAATAGTCAAGGGTAAAACAATGGGAACAATTTGAATGAACTAGTTTTGTGAAATACTTGGTTCCCATTCCAGGTTCACGTGGTTTAAAAAAGTGCTTTAGTAAGTTTCCAAATAAAAGCAGTTTAAAGAAAGCTATTCCAAATTTAAAAAGAAAACGTTAAAAAATATTTAAAAACCAGAAAAAAAGACATAAATTACCTCGTATCCCTAAGACCAGTCTTTTGTGCACAATTGACATTAGAGCAGTCCATCAGCAACGCGTTCGTATGTGGGGACATTTCAAATCGGACTGTTTTTCTACCTTCGTATTAACCAGAAACATTCAGAACACACGTCGGCCTACCTGAAAAGATCAGTTCCTTTCACGCACGCATTCAAACTGTTATTTTGCTGCTGGAGCAGCAGGAGGGACTTCCCCGGCGGCAGGAGGAGGATCTGCATCCTGTTTCTTGTCAGTATTGGACGGATCGCCCCCCTCCACTATTACTTTCTCCCTGGAAATGAGTTCTTCTTTACTTTCTGCAGCACCCAGCAAACTTGACTCTGAAAAACTGTATCCTAGCGGGACAGGGGGCTGGTAACGGTATCTGTAGCCATAGGCACGCAGGTGATATGTGTAGTACTCCATTAAATACATATGTAATGCATTTACATAGTGGAATGACACAGACACATCCGAGCAGCAGTTTGGACCCTGAGGAGGAAACGGAGAATGTGGTTATGAAAGATTATGGAGACAAATCACCACATTTTTAAATATCACATTGCATATCATTTCCACACCTTCTTGAACATCAGATGTTCAAGCACTTTCAAGACCAAATTCCCACAAATACAAGTACCCAACATGTCTTGGTATGAGACACAGACCAAAGTTAATTAATGTTACAACACTGAGAACTTTCAATTATTTCAAAGCCTTGTGGTGACTGTGTGGCTTTCATTGTTACTGTGGCTCAGACAGTTTGACCACAGAATATGCAAAGGGGAAAACTCTCTATGACAGATATTTCCAGTTAGAGTAAGAACAAAAATAATAATAATCCTAGTGCTGGACGGTGAATCTCCTAAATGTCAATAACACTGCACTTCAAGCAGCCACCTTTCCTCTAAAAGAACTGACAGCAGTAGCAGGAAGAGACATAAAGACAAGAGGGAAAACATGATCTGATCTCAATGTGGACAAACTGGATACACTCACTGTACACATATTAATAAAAAGGTGTTAATAATGTTGTCAGGTTAAGTCATATCCAAATACAATATGGATACAAGAGGGACTCTAATGCCAGATATAAGTGGGGGCCAGTATCCTTTCAAACATTAGTAGAACTGAAGTTGCGTCATACAAGTGTGATACCAGGTAAACAGAAAGGAGAAATTGTGCAATGTTTGCTGCACTTGCCTCAGTGATGGGGTAGTAGCAGTAGCTCCAATACCAGAAGCTCTTAGGAAACTTGGCCGTGAGGTGCTGCTCTGGGACAAATGGGTGAAATGTCTCCCTGTGTGACGAGTCTCTGGAGTCCCCTGCCAGCACCCCGACTTTCTCCATGCACTGCCCCATTGCCAGGTCCTCTACAGGGGTAGTGTGAGTGCACACTTTGTTTTTAAATCCTTCAACATATCGCCGCAGAGCCTCTCTGCTCAACACATAGCCCGCTCCTCCACTCATGTAGCCCTGCTTTGTGTAGGGCTTGAATCTTCGGCCAAAGTAAATTGGCTCTTCTGGCGTGTGGTTCGCAAGAATCCACCGCAGGTTGTCTACGACTACGTAGGTGTCATCATCTGCCTTGAGGAACCAATCCGCCTCGTGGGCATGATGCTCATAGGCATAATGGAAGGCCTTGATCGTTTTCCAGTACAGTTGGTCCCGACCCTCCTTTGTATTTAAGCCCACTGTGGGGAAGTCCGGGTCATCTACAGAGCTCATGAAGATCAAAATATTGCAGTGTCGACTCCACGTGGACTTCACGTGACGAGTCTTCTTTTCCAGGTTCGTGGGTCCAGTCATCACCCAGCAAAGAATACGCACCTTTTTGTATAGCTCATCTGCCATGCTGCTGTCCTCACCTAGGAAGGACATATAAACATTAATATGCAGTTGGGGAGCTTATTACTTTAACAAAAATATTGGAGAATTCTGTCTAGATACTTTCAATCTTTAATTTCTATACAATAACAAATGGATATACAAATCAGTTTAGATGTTTTGCTACAAGTTAAACTAGTATGTTTTTTTACAGGAGTGCAGATTAGAGTATTAGTAGACTTTTTTTTGATAACTTTAGCTGCTTCCAAAGTGCATTAACAAGAAAAATAGCAGGCCTTGTAAAAAATATATACTTTGTAGCTAGACTTTACAACATATCGTTCTTTACTGGACACAATGTACAGAGCAGGCTACTATACAGGCTGAGAACAAGGAAGCTCAAACATGATAAAGTGAGTCAATATGGTTTGGCAAAAAAAAAAAAAAGCCGTTGCATTATTGGACACATAAAACGTCCATGTGGCGTACCTTTATGATGAGGGTGTTTCAGGTTGAAAAGAGCAGACCTCTCCTTCTTCCATACTTTCTTATCTTCGTCATTTAACTGTTGCTGGTTGTCAAGGAATTGATCAGATTGCGTTGAAAACGTTTTCTCCAACCACACCTGCCGCAGAAACACGTACAGAGTGAGGGTTCCCACCGCGAAACCCGCGCAGAAGGACAGTCTGGACCAGATGGCCTTCATGCTGGACCGGTGTCTCTCTGTCGGTCGATCAACTCGGCAGGTGCTGGGTGAGACAATGAGGGGGGAAAGGCTTATACACGTCACGAGTTTCACTACAATGGTCCAACCTTGAAAACCTAAATTCGAACCAGTGACACGACTGGTGAAAAGTATCAGACGCCACTCCCAGTTTTTGTATTTGTACAACTTTTGTCCTTGAGACTGACATGTGAATATCCAAATGTCTGTGTTCTCGTGTTTGTAAAGAACTGTGTTTTTGTTTCCTCATATTCAGTTCCTCTTATGCTGTTTACCTGAAGATTCTGTATATATTGTCAAGATATGTTCGACAGACAAACTTAAAAGAAACAAACAGTTAAAAAGAAACTCACCAATGGTATTGCAGACACCATAGCAGCTGGGTGATCTCGCAGTTACTTCATTTCAACAGGAAACATCAACTTTGAAAAGCGAAAGCTGAGCCAGGTTTTGCCTCGACGTTTTTGTATCTCTCTCCGCTCAGCTAGCCACACCAAAATGCTGCTAACAATTATCGCAGCAAGACTACCACAACGCCATATCAATAATCTTCTGGATATAAAAAAACACGACTGATAACAGCAGTTATGGCCTTCAGTTCCTGGCCTTGGTGTTATCGTTAGCTAGCTGCTAGTCTGTTAATTGTATCGACACTGCTAACTTCACTGCTAATCCTCCCTGTCGTGTCAACATAGCGGCTAAACGTAACGGAGTTATTCAGCTCACCGCGAAAACTGAAACGACTGTTAACTGGATTACCTCAGCAGTTTACATAAACAGCCTTCAGACTAATACCAATATAAAAGTGCTCCAAAACGCTGCGTAAACTACATCTAACTTATCTGGCTGACTGCTGTCTAACGTCCAGTAAAAAAAAAAGCTTCCGGTCAAGTCGCGTTATTTCAAAATAAAAGCGCAAACGGCTTCGATTCATTTGTCCACATTCAATGAATATTGATCATTAAGACCACACACTTTGATAGCTTTTAACCAAACTATGACCTATAGCCAGTGATATAACTACAAGTTAGTATTTTTAATATAATTGTACTTCTACTCTATTACATTTCCAAAGGAAGTATTTTATATTCTTCTTCACCGCATTTTTGTGACATGCGTACCGAATGTACTGGTTGGTCTCTTTTCTTTTTGGTACTATATAGCTATCTACCAAGCAGTATACCATTCGGCTCCATGTTGACACATGTTAAATAATTGCATTTAACATGCAGCACATTTATAATTGTACCAAACTATGAAAACATGGTGTTCCTTATAGTAATATAGTCCTATTCAAGAATACAGTATTATATATTGTCTTTTTGCGGCTCTACAAATGTGTGCAGCCGAAGCGTGAGGATCAAAACAACTGCTGCAGAAAATCATGTCATGAATGGCAAATCTTTGTTTGTTAAGGACAAGTTGAAGGGTTTTAAACCATTGATATTTCTGTTTACCTTTAAGTTGCATGAAGGAACTGGATCCTGCATCCCACTCTTGAACAAAGTCTGGCTGGTTGTTTTTTACTTGGCAATAACATGCAAGAGCAATCTACATTATCTGATAAGACAAATAGTCTGTTAAGAAAAGCCAATCTACTCTTGACGCTGGTTCCCTACGGATCAAATGCCTTATTTGTGTTTGATAAAGTTTGTATTGACTTAGTTACATAGTGACCTTGAGTTTCATAAAGGAGACGCACAGTCACAAATTTGAACACAATTTACTCTGATAACTCAAGCCCCACTTCATTTGTGTTAATATACAACAAATCAAATATCATCAAAAGATCTATTCACGCAATAATTATGTACATGTTGAATTACAAGTTATCACAATTATTCACAAATTATACAAAGTCAGCCCTTACTGTAAGTACACCTTTGAAGGATCCATAGAAAAGTTTTGTGTGGATTTATTATTTTTGATACGCTGAAACTGATTGAAATCGTTTTCGTTTGCTATATAACATTCTCATTCTATAACACACTTGAAGATCTGACCATCCTACACTCCTTTTTCTTTTGAATACCTTCAAAAAACCCAGGACAAATGAAAAGAAACATTTTCATTAAAGAACCTTGTTCTAGGGATATGAAGTGCCACAGCACTGTACAGACACTTGTAATCTACAGTCATGTTTAACCTAATCCCCCAAAAACAGCAACGGAAAGTAGGAAATTAACTGTGAACTCTTTAGTATTTCTCGCTTTTTCCATATCCAGACACGATCAGTAAACACTGAAATGAACAACCTGTGCATACACTCCTCCAGTTTGTTGAGGCATGCACAAATCCTCCTACCTGTGTCCATAAAGGTAAGGACTTCTTTGTCAATAGCAACCTAAAAAATTAATGTAAATTATAATTTGACTTTAAACAGTGTGCTGTTGATAACTTCAGATGGAAATGCTAACATTCAGTACAAATTAACTGAAATATAAAAAAAATATGTAGATACTGTACATCGCCATCTATCAAAACTGAATCCCATCAAAAAGGGGAATAACTTCATTCAGTTGCACAGAACAGCTGAGATGTTGCAGTTTTATTGTGCAACATTAAAATGGTGCCTACAACAGAACAGGTTTAATAGCAGTAATTTAATCCTTTGGATGGCTGCGCTTCAGAGTCCCCCTCCCTGTAGTTCTCCACAAGAGTTCACCTTCACAAAAGGTGCACTGAAGGATCTCATATGTCCACGTCGTCTGAGTCAGTGGTGCTGGATGACTGGGACTCCTCCTGGGACTCTCCCCACACAAACCTATAGTTGTTCTCCAACTCCTGCTGCCTCTTCTGCTCTTTGTAAACCTCTTCTGTGCCTCCAGTCTGGAAGATGTGTGGAAAACATGTTTTTAAAAAACAACCACAGCCCTACTGACTGAATGCTGAAAATAATTACCTAACTTACTCTACAGCACATAATTGCTGGTAAACACAGAATTTCAGAGCATAATTCTCTAAAATAAGATTTTAAATTAACACCAAAAAAGTAATTATCACTTCTTAAATTACCAGGAGATTTATGAGGAGCTCCCTGAAGGACTTAGTATCTTCTTCAGTCAGCCACTGATCACCTGCGTCCTCTGCATTTTTTCGTGTCAAGATCTTCACCTCAATTTTACCTGATAGAAAAAAAAACAGGGGGGAAGGCAGGCTTTCCAGTCAAACAAGCGTGCTTATAAGTGGCTCAAATCTGTGGAAAAAAACAATAAATCATAATGAAGAATGGCACAAACACAACAGTGGATGAAAAAGAAATGACACAGATGGACCCAACTTTGTATTTCCCTTTGTCTCTAAGATAAGCTACAGCTATTTCCCGCTCCTACGAACTTTAATGTTGCTGTTCTTAAATTAAGAACCTAGACTAGTGTTCACATCTTTTATCATGATCTTCATAAAAGCATGCGTTTGCTGCCAGCATGAACAATTAAGGACCCCTTTCAGGTTATAAGCATGATGTTAAGCATCTTCTTAACAGCTTAACTTTGTAAAAACATAGATCTGACAATTGTTGTTTTTTTAAGAATAGAAAAGTACAGAAATACCATGTGCTCAAGATAACAGATGGAAGAGAGAAAAGGCCGTGAGTGTTTCGGGCACTCCCCCCCCCTCATACCTTCTGCCTTCAGTCCTGCTTTCTCTAGCTGTTCTTTAACAACGTCCTTTATGTGCTGCCACTGCGGGTCTCCTTCGCCCATCTCCTGAACTTTGACCTCCCCATCAGGGCTGCTGCCCGTCTTATACTTAGTAATTTTGATCTTAACATGGTCGTCATCCGCTTGGTCTGGGTTGACGAGACAGAAAGAGGGACAAACAACACAGTTCACCTCAAAATCCCATCAGCAGGGCCACAGGATGGAGGAGGTAAGAGCCAAGAATGTGTAATCTAAACATTTTTGAACCGTCATAGATTTATAATTCTGTGATAGTTTATCAATTTGGATGTAATCACTAATTGCAATCACCCACATATACATCAATGGCAGCAGAGAAAAGACCACTAACTATGCTAAAAAATAATAATCTGACAACATAAATTCTCTGTGAATCATACTAACTCCATTTGTGCGTATATTTTTGGATGGAAGATCACAACAAACAACTACAGTACATGTGAATGAAACCTGAGGAGGATGGAGACAGTGTGCACAGATGTGAACATGAGCCAATAAGGGCAGGAGGCCGGGTTACCTGGCTGTTTTGGGGCCAGGCTGGGGCTTCCCCTGGTGGGGTCGCTGGCTCTTTGACCTCCAGCTGTTTGCTGCTCTGGATCCTGCACCTCTTTCTCTTCCAAATGGTCAAGTAACTTATCCAGCGTCGTCTCCAGTGTCTGTGTAGCTTGAGTTCGATCAAATTCCCCTTTAAGACCTTCTGTCTCTAATTCCTGCTGAGCCTATAACACAGGAGAAAGCCAATCATGTCAGAGTATTGGTAAGTCGTGGTGGCAGATCTGGCTTATAACATGTTAATATTGTTCTCTTAACATCAATCTTGGTGTTAACATTTCATGTTGTCTCTAGCGGGAAACCTCATTAATGATGTTGTCAAAATCCTTCTGCATTTCCTCCTTTATCTCTTCAATCTTTTCAGAGGGCACTGAGAGGTCCGCAATCTCATCCTCAAAGTCCTGTAGCAAGTGTTCATCCTCGTCTTTCTTATCCTCGCCCAGCTTCTCGGTTACTCTGCTGCTCTCTGCCGGGTTCTCTCCTTGACTTTTGGCTTGATGTTGTGCTTTCTAAAAAGAAGAAAATTATTGATTTGAAAAACCCGTGATCAGGGGCCTCATTTATAAAGCTTTGCGTAGGATTCACGTGGGAAGGTTGCTTACGTAGGACAAAGAAAATAAATACGCACAAAAATATTCTGATTTATAAAACAATGCGCACGCACGTCCTACACCGGTTTCCCTTTATAAATCACTATCAACTCGAAATGCGGCGCAGTTTTTGCGGGCTTCACGTAACGCCCATATTTGCCTATAAATAGTCAAAGAAACGCCCCGTATTAATATTCATTTTGACTGACTGCATGAAGAAGATCGCAGGAAATGATGACAGAACATCTAAAAAAGACATTTCACACCGTGTCAGATTTCGGTTCTTTTGGGCAGGTGGAGACAAATCACATTGTTTGGTGGATGCAGTTTGAACCAGAGTAGCAGCATGGAGGTCGGATCGTCACCAAGATAAATAAATAAGTGGTCCGAAATAAGTTAATGACAAAATACACATAGCCTTCCTCGGGCAGTGTGTCAGTGTGTTTGTACCGGGGACAGGAGACCCCCCATGATGAGAAACTGTAAGAAATGATTGAGGAATCCCTCCGGAGTGGAGTCATGACGACTGGATCTACATTTGTATTTTTTATTTGGTGGTTTGTGTTCCAGCTGTCAATCAGCTGTGCGCAGCGTCTCCACTGCAGCCTGTGCGTCTCAACCAACCCCGCAGCAACTCTATATCCATAATCCACCAGTTAAAGGAAATAAAACTAACGTGTTGTGTTATATTAGCTGTACAATTTACCACATATGGTGTTCTTAGTTTCCATACCTCCTGTGTTTTACGAGCGACTTATCAAGTATTGGCGAACGGCATAAAACACGATTAAACGTGATGGTATAAACCATGCTCGTATCTATACAACCTAGAGAAAAGCAAAACGGCGTCAGTTTAAAGTAATTCTGTCCTTCTGCGTACCCCATCTTTTTGTGAGAATACATCTGTCTTTAATTAACAAGAGAAACATAATCGAGGGGTGATCAATAACATTTCCGTATTTATTTATTTCTCCAAGTTATGTTTGTGTGCACTGAGGAGTCTCAAACAGGCGTTTGTTTAATCATTTTAAGATTGGCTTTAATCAATTTGTGAAAATGAATTCTTCATATATGATAAATGAGAGGTAACATTTTATTTATGGTATTATTCCCACATATTTCTCTCCATTCTTTCTTCTGCCAACTGTGTCGCCGTTTCTCGTCTCTCCCGTTTTGTGCGTACCACGTGCGCATGGGTCAGAGTTTGCGTGGAGGACCGCACATTTTCCCGTCAAGTTTGTTGTTTATTAAATCGCAAACATTGCGTAGAAACTGGCGTATGCCATTTTTTGAGCGTATATCCCTTTATAAATGAGGCTCCAGGTGAGTAGTGATGTTTTTATCTGGGTACGTACTGACCTTTCTGTTACTCTCTTTGAGATGTTGAACAAATTTCATCAGGTCTGCTGGGTCAGTAATGATTTTAAAGTTGAATTTTTCGACTGAAAGAGACAAAAGTGAAGAGACAAAAGTGAAACACTGAAAAACCACACACAGAAGAAGTGTTATTCAAAAGAACTTAATTTGGACTTCTGATCATTCTGAAATAAAAGACTCATCAAACACATTCTAATATATTTTAGTTTAAAGCTCTCAAAAGCAATGACTTATCACTAATGGCATTAATCTTTTGTGTGTGTGTGTGTGTGTGTGTGTGTGTGTGTGTGTGTGTGTGTGTGTGTGTGTGTGTAATAGAGAAGTGGAGACCGAAAAATTAAAGTAGCACCTTCATCACCCTCATCTATGACTTCATTGTCTGTAAATGAGTTATAGTCGTCATCTGCTGCCTGTGTGTAGAAAACAAAATAAATGGGGTTAGAGTTATGGAGTGGGGAGATGAAGTGACCTACACCCTCTAGTGGTTGAGCTCAGGTTGGAGAAAAAATGACCTGTAAATTAAAGAAAATATCATGTCAACCACGTTAAGTGGATTCACACATCATTCATTGAAAAAGCATCAACTATGTGTGAATTTTAAACATTTACTCCAATAAAATGAGATTTAAAAATATCCTTAGGACTATCCATAGAAGATAAGCAGTGTTTTGACATTGTGAAAATGATAAGGCTAGCCAGGTCTTTTATTAAGCATCATTCAAAAAAGGACTACTGACTCTAAAGCTGTATTTCTTTACCTTGTCCTGTTGGGACTCTGTTGTTTTTGAACTCCCAGGCTTTGAAACTCCCTCCCAGAAGTCAGAATCTTCTGCCTCCTCTGACCCGGCCTCCTCAGATAAACCAGCAGTATCTGTTTCAATATAAAAGCACACACAAGGTTTACATTTCTCAAGACAGAAATACAAATGCAGTGCTTATTTTTCTGTTGTTAATTGACATAATACTAAAATACTTTTGATTGTATTTTGCCTCTTGTGTAAAGAAAAGAAAACCTGTATTGTCTGACGGGCCCAGGTCATCACTTGGTGCAGGTGATGTCTCCTCTGCTGTTACCTCCACTGCTCCATCTGACCCTTCATTAGCAGCTAACATCTCATCGAGAGTCCTCAGCTCCTCTGAGATCTGCTCCACTTTACGCTTTGTGTCCGCTGGGAACCGACAGAGGGAAAGAGGAAGGAGGAGAAGAAAGAGCAATCATGTCACAAATTTTTTATAGTTTTAAAATTAGACAGTTGAAGATTTTCTATATCAAACACCTTTTATCCATCACACTGTTAAATACTCCTTTCCCACATTATATCCTGCTCCAACACATTAAAGAATTAAAGCAACATTTTCTCTATATGCTGCGTCACTGGCCCCCTCATTTTTGTCAACTCACAGACTTGAGCCTTGACGTAGTCCATGTACTGCTGGGCGCTCAGAGCTGGCTGGCACACAATGCCCTGGGGCTTGGCAGTGGACGGAGGCCGCAGGAACGGATGCTGGCAGGTACGACTGGTGTGAACTGTCAGAACATAGCGGCACGACTGAGGCTCGTCCACTCGGGCGATGTAGTCATTAGAGCCTTCTTCACACACAAACTGGGAAAAATGAAGTCAAATGAATGAGTTGTGTTTAGGAAGATCACCTGGTGGTACAACATGAATCATTTTCAATGGGGTTAGAGTTTCTGTGAATCTTGTGTGTGGACTTCTACCTCATTGATACTTTATGATCACCCAAAAAGTTATTAGAAACTAATTCATTAAGTATATCCAGAATTTTGTTTTGTTGCCATGGCTCAATCTTAAAAAGTCTCTATTAAAACACGTGTGATTTTATTACAGAAACATTGATGAGCTTTAGAGGAATGTGTTTGGTGTCTTGAAAAATAATACACAGAAAGATCATTCATGTGTACACAATTGATCTTAATAATTATCATAGCCTAATTCTATACCAAATAGTTTTGAGTCACAGTAAACGGCAACCAGGCTTTAATTACTTTAGCTATTGGTTCAGAAAGTAAAAACAATGAATACTGGACAGGGTTTCCCCTAGGATGGAGTCGTAGCAGCGGTGCTAAGGCACGTGGGCCCAGCATAATGTGGGCGCGGAGCGCGTGGAATCTTTTAGTGTGTGCGAAGTGCGCCCCGCCAATTTGTTTCTATGTGTCTGCCAGCACAAGAAAGGCTCTTGAGGCCTATTACCTAGCCAATTTGCAGCTCTAGGCGAGATTTTATATGTAAAGAATAAATGAAAAATCTCTACAAAAGACAAATACACTACAAAAACAGAAACTTCTTGACATAGGTAATATACGTCAAAATGACTTCAAATGTATTCATTATTGTATGAACATGTTTGAATTGGAGGGTGGACGTCACATCCTCTAGGGAAGATTTTTTTGAACATGTTAAAGTAAAATGCTTCAATCTG